GAGCTTTTCTTCCTGAAGTGCCTAAATAGAGTAATAATATTTCAAACATTATGTTGTATTTTTTTAGGGGCTATCCAAATATCAACTTACAATGTTTTCTTCCTTTATTTTGGGGAATAAAATCTTGGCCTCCTGAAATCACTGATTATGAGTTTCCTTAGCTGCATAAATCAAGACTAACATAGTTAAAGCCAACGTGAAGTAGAAATCAGTCTTTTTGGACTTGACCATCACTTTGCAATACAGAAGGTCAGGCCTGTAACAATGTTTACTTACCTAAGCTTGAGTAACCGATCCAGAAAAATTGAAAATACTTGTCATATGCCACATGGTAAACTGCAGCCTAACTTAAAAAATAAAAGAAAAAGGAAATGTAGTTGGTATTTTAAACTCCTGCATTCACTAGGCCCAACCTTGTATTACTTTAAAAAAAATCCTCAAAATGAGACCATATGAAGAAGCCTCTGAGCAGTACCAGGAAAGCACACGGCTAAGAGCAGTCCCCACAAATAAGCTGATACTTTTGGAGATAATTATGTGCTAATTTTGTCAGATGTATGTTAGCATCAGACCATAATCAAATTAAATGGAAATATTTATAACATGAGAATCTGTATGTGGGTATGAGAAGGTGCAGTTTCATTACTGCAAGGCTGGCAGTCACACTTAATCTTCCCCCATGCACATGTGGCTTTACCTCTCTTCTCTGCAAAGGAATTACTCTGCAGCTGAAAGTTTCCAGCTGTAAAAGCTTCTTTTTGACAAACCTGATGTGGACATTCACATGATTCACCTGCAGCATGTTGCCAACCCTTATTTTCAATATGGAAATTTGGAACCATTTTCAACCTGACCCAAGCTGATGAAGAATCAACTGTCCTTTTAAAAATACTACTGTACCTTTTAAGTATGCAGATTGCCAGGCTGAATTTTAAATGCAATCACTTTGCTTCCAGTATACTCTAAAAATCAGGAGTCACAGGCTGCATGAATCAGTCCTCTACACCTAGGACCTGCTATTTCCATCATTGTAAGCCTGCGTGCTTCAATTTCATGAATTGTCCACTTTTTTCCCCAGCCTCCTCCGTGAAATGCATATGCAATATAAAACCCATTTATCATACTGGAAATTGCTATTGTATTTAATCTTCCTAAAGACAGCAAAATAAAATTATGATGTGTAAAGAATTATAATCTGTCAAATTCAAGGGAATACTCCAAACTTATCCCTCCACATCTGCAACAGAACAGGTCAAAGAGGTCTAATGTAGAAGATATGGGTAGGAAGACATGATGTGAGTATACATAATGAGAAGATGAAAACTCTCTTAATCTTTGCAGATTGAATGAAATCTAATTACATGCTGTATTGATTGTTGTGTATTACTGGAAAAAGACAGTGAAAAGGGAAAAAGGCAATTACAGTGAAATTGTAGTCTGACCCTTCAATTGCTTTTGGCAGGAAAGGTTATGCGCTACTTGGGGCATCAAAAATTCTTTATCCTCTATGGTAAAATCATTAGCAACAGACTCAGATGCAGAACTGATTAGGGAAAAAATTCAGTCAATTAAATCTTTTTTATTTTTTCCCCATTTACAAAAATTAGAGGCAAAAGAAGAAAATACCAAGGTGTTATCACTATGCCATTTCATGAATTGCTACTAAGTCTATCTGGCATTAATTCTGTGTTGATTGACAATAAACCATATTCATCAATAGAAATACCATAGTAAAAATTACAAAACATATAGACTGATTAACTACAAGATCTCAGTTATTAAAAATAAATGTTATACCCATAGTCAAATATTAAGAGATAATAACAAAGTTTCACCAAGGAAATTCCACAGACATGTTTCATCGCCTTCCTTTCCCTTTGCACACTCATTCATTTACTTCCACCAAAACCAGCAGCAGCTGAGCATAAAGAAAGCTTTCAGAAATACTATTTTTCTAAGTTGATAGAAAACCAAAGCACGAGCCAACTGAAAACTATTGTTTGGGTGTATGTCTGCACAGCTCTGCAGGGAATCTCATTCACTCTATTCTAAAAATTCTTGTTCTGCCAAAGATAATTGCAAGGACCAGCTTTCTACTGACTTCCATGCATGGTCCTCTGGTACTACACACACCTCCACAGGCGTGTATGCACATTTTTATTCAGAATGAAAAGTTAATGAGTTCTCTAGTGATCAGTTTCAGGTTGCCTCTTTATACAGTTGTAGCATTACTGATTATGTTTATTTTTCCTTGCAGAAGGAAACTTTCAAACAACTTTTCTTGGATTGCATGAAAACAAATAAGTGTGTCAGAAACAGAATTGCATATGGCTGCAGCTGCAGGGCTGGTGTCTCACAGAAGTGTCTCTCTGTTGCACTGAATCTTCAACAGAGTCCCTAGAAAATCCAGGTAAGATCTTACAAGTTTAGGACTAATCCAAAGAGAAGAGAAAAATGAAACAGAGGAACACAGAGACTATTACTAAAAATGTAAGATATTTAAGAGGTGTCTCTATACTTGCTGATCTCAAACCAGAAAGAATCAAGAGCAGAAAATTGAAACACTGACCTGGACAGGCCTAGCGTTAAGAATAACATTGTGCTGGACTCAAACTCCTGGTGCTTGCAGGAGTTCTGGGTATGCAAGGAATTCATATTCCTTGCAAATAAAATCTATCTACCCATATCTGTCTCTCCCTATAAAAGTGACATTGACCCACCTCATGAAAAATAACATCCAAGAAGGCCTCACACAGCTCTCTAACCTTGTAATAAAGTAGTGTCCAGGCTAATGTCTGAGGAAACCTTGCTCCACACTAGGATGAAACTGCAAAGCTCCAGAGCAGACAGAGAGCTTTTGTAATAACAGTCTTGCTGTGAGACATGGTAGAACATTGTCACAGACAGGCTCCCTTGAATCTCAATGCTGCCAGAGCAGCATTATGCCCATTAATAGCATAAGTAATGAGTCATGATATTAAAAACAAAATACCAGTGAGCTAAACGCAAACACAGATGCTTAATCCTGATTCCACTTACAGTGATGCAACTCAGATTATGTCAGTGGGGCACCCTTTAATTTTTAGGACTTCTTGGTTTTGTTGCCACATGATGGAGGGACAAGAAAAAAGAAAGTGACAAAGTATATTTTCACAATTATGACAAAATAATTAATCTGTGTTAATGCACCACTATGTAATAAAAACCCTCAATGACATCAGAGAGAAACTGAAGGAAAATGAATAGGAAATTTGAATAGCTCAGCTTAAAAAACTATTTTCCTGTGTAAGAACTTTAAAGAAGAAGAAACTGCCTACAGTGTTTATTATGAACTGAAAAAGCAATGTAGCATTTAAGTTCAAGTAATATCACTGTGAAGTTCCATATCCAACAAACCAAATTAAAGAAGAAGAAAAAAGTCCCCAAAATAGAGGCATAGTTTTACAGAGAATTTCCTGTTTACTGTGAAGCCATAGTCATTACGTGCAATGGTGCCTGCCTGGTACATTAAGGACTCCTGCTGATTCTCCAGTGGATGCTACACTGAGATGAAACCAGAGCAGGCAAATCCTACACAAAGTCTCACCTATGAACAAGAACAAATAAATTCAGGCCCAAAAAACTCATTCAGTTGAGCTATGATGGATATAGCTCAGGGACTGATCTAATTTAGTTTGGGAACTCTATGGCTTTTTTGAATTTGGAAGGAGAATTTCCCTCTTAAAGCCTACATTCTTCAAAACTGCTCCAAAATAGGATTAGGAAACACAGCTGTTGACACTCTTCCTCTAATTAATGAATGTGTATTTTTGTGACTAACACTCACACTCCACATTCGCCTTCTCTCTTCTTTTTACACAGATGAGTGCGTAAGGGGATGCCTGTTCTATAACACTTGCTGGCATAGCCTGTGTATTACCATAACAGCCTAACCTACTTAGATTTATGCAGTCATTCAGAAAGTAGTAAGAGGAAATATACTTTATCTTAACCCTCCTATTTGTCTGCATTTTGATACTACAGTAGCCTTTGTTAAATCAATGTTATGAGTAAGATTTTCACCAGCAGCCCAGAAGCACATTTGGTATACTTAAACATATTTACACTGGAAGTTTTATTTGGTGCTAGAAACGAAATGTTACATTTATATTGTAATTTCATGTAAGAGTTCACTCCTTCAGCTTCTTCTTGTCCAAAGCACTCATGTATTTAGTTAGTCACATACTTATTTCTTTGATGTTCCTCATTTAGAACTTTATGAATCTATGCAAATACAAATGCACTTGGCTTGAATAATTTGTTTCTTTATGAAAAATTAGTTATCCTATAACAACTTTTAGGCTTAGCCTATTCTAACCACCATGGGAGTGTTCTTTGCTTACCTACCAAGATTTTTCAAGGCTAGTGAATTAGAATGGAACGTCATAAAAAGAAGTGGTGGATGCTTCCCCTCCTCCTCAAAGATAATATCAAATTTAAATGGCAAAGTCATTAAGGAAACAGATGGGGGCTATGTTTAAAGAGATCGTTAAAAGTACACAGCATAAGAACTCAGTAGACTCTTTTTAAAGTAGTTCTGAGACCAAGTACATGACTCCCAGCTGTAACCTGACAATATATTCGCTATACAAACACCTACCCAGGCAGAGTTAACGCAGCCAGGCACACTAAAACCTGGTACACTTTGTAGGGACTTCCACCAATCCTTAAACCATTAACTCTGCAGCTTCCTGAACTTTGTGTCTATTGAGGAAGTCCTGACTTTGCACCAAGAGTTGGCCGGGTTAGGGGGGGGGCTCAACAAATCCCTCCATCCAAACCCTGCAGTCCTCTCTTGCCCTTTGTTTTCAGCACTTCAGCAGTGGGGTCAGTGCATACACTGCCCGGGCTTCCCTCCCCAGCGGGCTGGCACTTGGGGTGCTCTTCCCCAGTTTGTAGCACCCTCCCAGGACACATGGCACCACGGGACCGGTGCTGCATCCCCTCCCAGCCCTCCGTACCATTGAGCTGGTTGTAGACCACTTCCTCCAGGTGGTCCAGGCGCTGCAGGATGGACTCCCTGTCGGCCAGGCTGCCCACCTTGGCTCCGCGGCTCCTGGCCCGGCGGTCCGCGCTCCGGACAATCTGCACCAGCTCCTGGGAGCGGTCCTGGATCCTGCAGTAGACGGAGAAGAGGATGATGCCCACGAAGACCAAGATGTTCACCGTCAACAAAGT